TGGACGAGTTAGGAGTAAGGAACTAATACAGAGATTCAGGACAGCCATTGAATTAGTTAGGAGCAAGGGAGGAATCCCGATCATATGTGGCATTCTTCCAAGAAAGGGAGTGGGAAATGAATGGATGACAAGGGCACTTGGTGTCAATTGCCGGCTGGAAAGATATTGCAAATCAAATGCAATATCTTTCTAAGACAACTGGGAACACTTCTATGGAAGAAATGAAATGTATGCTCGTGATGGGGTGCATCTATCGAGAACTGGGGTTGTTGCTGTTGTGAACTCGTTGGAAGAAGTGGTTAGAGGTGTTTGTTTGGGTTTAAACTGTTAGTAGATAGAGGTATGGGAATTGATTTTAGGAAGGAGATAATAAAAGTATGTGTTTGTTGGAGAAAGGAATTGGCAAAATGATCAGGGAAAGAGAAAGGCCTCAAAATAACAATTCACTTAGGGTATATAACACTAACAGTAAAAGTCTAAGAAATAAAATTAACGAATTAAATGCTCTTGTCTGCACAGAAAAAATAGATATTATTGGACTTACCGAAACGTGGATGAATGTAGAAAATAGAGAACTATTAGCTGAATATCAAATAAATGGATTTAAACTATTTCACACAGATAGACATATTAGACGAGGAGGGGGAGTAGCCATATATGTTAGGGACAATTTGAAATGTAGTCTCAAAGAGGGAATCAAAACTGAGCCACACACAGAAACTATTTGGATAGAATTATACGAAAAAGCAAATAATATTATAATAGGAGTTATATATAGGCCACCAAATTTAGACAGAATGGAAGCAAAGCATCTATGGGATGAAATATCTAGGGCATCTAGATCTAACAGTATTTACGTCATTGGTGACTTTAATTTTAGTGGAATAAACTGGTTGAACAAAACAGGGAATAGTGAAGCAGAAGATTTTCTAGAATTAATTGACGATTGCTTTCTTACAAAACACATTAAGGAACCAACGCGGGAAAATAATATTTTAGATTTAGTGTTAACTAACAGGGAAACACAAATTAATGACATCGAAATAGGGAGTGAGCTAGGGAACAGTGTTCACAAAGAAATCAGATTTAGCATAGAATGGAATAGACCTGTAGGAGAAAATTCTAGTTAACCAATAGTAAAATTCTAGTTAATCTAGCTACTAGTAACCCACACGCGGCACCTACTATTGACCCACACGAGGAAGCTACTACTGACGCACACGAGGTAGCTACTATTGATCAACAGGAGGCAGCTACTATTGACCCAAGTGAGGTAGCTACTATTGACCAACACGAGGCAGCTACTATTGACCCACACGAGGCAGCTGCTATGGACCCACACGACGCAGCTACTATTGACCCACACGACGCAGCTACTATTGACCCAAACGAGGTAGCTACTATTGACCAACACGAGGCAGCTACTATTGACCCACACGAGGCAGCTACTATTGACCCAAACGAGGCAGTTACTATTAACCAACACGAGGCAGCTACTATTGACCCACACGAGGGAGCTACTATTGACCCACACGAGGCAGCTACTATTGACCCAAGTGAGGCAGCTACTTTTGACCCACACGAGGCAGCTACTCTTGACCCATACCAGGCAGCTACTATTGACCCACACGAGGCAGCTACTATTGACCGACACGAGGCAGCTACTATTGACCTACTAGAGGCAGCTACTATTGACACACACGTGGCAGCTAATATTGACCCACACGAGGCAGCTACTATTGACCGACACGAGGCAGCTACTATTGACCCACACGCGGCAGCTACTATTGACCCACACGAGGAAGCTACTACTGACCCACACGAGGTAGCTACTATTGATCCACGCGAGGCAGCTACTATTGACCCAAGGTAGTTAGCTACAATTAACCCACACGTGGCAGCTACTACTGACCCACACGAGGTAGCTACTATTGCCCCACACGAGGCAGCTACTATTGACCCACAGTAAGCAGCTATTTTTGACCCAAGTGAAGCAGCTACTATTGACCCACACGAGGCACCTACTGTTGACCAAACGAGAGAGCTACTATTGACCCACACGATGCAGCTACTATTGACCCTAACGAGGGAGCTACTATTGACCCACAGGAGGACGCTACTATTGACCCACAGGAGGCAGCTACTATTGACCCACACGAGGACGCTACTATTGACCCACAGGAGGCAGCTACTATTGACCCACACGAGGACGCTAGTATTGACCCACAGGAGGCAGCTACTATGGATCGACACGAGGCAGCTACTATTTACCCACACGAGGCAGCTACTATTGACCCATTCGCGGCAGCTACTATTGACCCACACGGGGCAGCTACTATTGACCCACACGAGGCAGCTACTATTGACCCACACGAGGCAGCTACTATTGACCCACACGAGGCAGCTACTTTTGCCCCACATGAGGCAGCTACTATTGACCCACGTGAGGCAGCTACTATAGACCCACGTGAGGCAACTACTATTGACCCACACGAGGCAGCTACTATTGACCCACATGAGGCAGCTACTGTTGACCCACGTGAGGCAGCTACTATAGACCCACGTGAGGCAACTACTATTGACCCACACGCGGCAGCTACTATTGACCCATACGAGGCAGCTACTATTGACCCTCGTGAAGCAGCTACTAATGTCCCACACGAGGCAACTACAATTGACCCGCAAGAGGCAGCAACTATTGATGGACACGAGGCAGCAACTATTGATGGACACGAGGTAGCTACTATTGACCCACAAGAGGCAGCTACTATTGACCTAAGTGAGGCAGCTACTATTGACCAACACAAGGCAGCTGTTATTGACCTAAAAGAGGCAGCTACTAATGACCCAAGCGAGGCAGCTACTATTGACCCACACGAAGCAGCTACTATTGACCCACAAGAGACAGCTACTATTGACCCACACGCGGCAGCTACTATTCACCCACACGAGGAAGCTACTACTGACCCACACGAGGTAGCTACTATTGATCCACGCGAGGCAGCTACTATTGACCCAAGTGATGTAGCTACTATTGACCCACACGTGGCAGCTACTATTGACCCACTCGAAGCAGCTATTATTGACCCAAGTGAGGCAGCTATTTTTGACCCACACGAGGCACCTACTGTTGACCAAACGAGAGAGCTACTATTGACCCACACGACGCAGCTACTATTGACCAACACGAGGCAGGTACTATTGACCCCTCACGAGGGAGCTACTATTGACCCACACGAGGCAGCTGCTATTGACCCACACGAAGCAGCTATTATTGACCCAAGTGAGGCAGCTACTATTGACCCACATGAGACAGCTACTATAGACTCACGTGAGGCAGCTACTATTGACCCACACGAGGCATCTACTATTGAACCACACGAGGCAGCTACTATTGACCCACAAGAGGCAGCTACTATTGACGCACATGAGGCAGATACTATTGACCCACACTAGGCAGCTACTATTGACCCACACGAGGCAGCTACTATTGACCCACATGAGGCAGATACTATTGACCCACACGAGGCAGCTACTATTGACCCACAAGAGGCAGCTACTATTGACCCAGAAGATGCAGATACTACTGACCGAGACGAGGCAGCTACTGTTGACCCACAAGAGGCAGCTACTATTGACCCATCCGAGGCACCTTCTATTGACCCACACGAGGCAGTTACAATTGACCCACACGAGGCAGCTACTATTGACCCACACGAGGCAGCTACTATTGACCCACACGAGGCAGCTACTATTGACCCACAAGAGGCAGCTACTATTGACCCATCCGAGGCAGTTACAATTGACCCACATGAGGCAGCTACTATTGACCCACACGAGGCAGCTACAATTGACCCACACGCGGCACCTTCTATTGACCCACAAGAGGCAGCTACTATTGACCCACACGAGGCAGCTACTATTGACCCACAAGAGGCAGCTATTGTTGACCCACACGAGTCAGCTACTATTGACTCACACGAGGAAGCTACTATTGACCCACACGAGGCAGCTACTATTGACAAACACGAGGAAGCTACTATTGACCCACACGAGCCAGCTGCTATTGACTCACACGAGGCAGCTACTATTGACCACCAGAGGCAGCTATTGTTGACCCACACGAGGCAGCTACTATTGACCCACACGAGACAGCTACTATTCACCCACACGAGGCAGCTACTATTGATCGACACGAGGCAGTAACTATTGATCGACTCGAGGCAGCTACTATTGACCTACTAGAGGCAGCTACTATTGACCCACACGAGGCAGCTACTATTGACTAACACGTGGCAGCTACTATTGACCCACATGAGGCAGCTACTTTTGACCCACATGATGTAGCTACTATTGACCCACACGAGGCAGCTACTCTTGACCCACACTAGGCAGCTACTATTGTCCCACACGAGGCAGCTACTATTGACCCACATGAGGCAGCTACTATTGACCTACTAGAGGCAGCTACTATTGACCCACACGAGGCAGCTACTATTGACTAACACGAGACAGCTACTATTGACCCACATGAGTCAACTACTGTTGACCCAAATGAAGCAGCTAGTATTGACCCGAACGAGGCAGCTACTATTGACCCACACGAGGCAGCTACTATTGATGCACACGAGGCAGCTACAAGTAACCCAAGTGAGGCAGCTACTATTGACCCACACAAGGCAGTTACTATTGACCCATAAGAAGCAGCTACTACTGACCCACACGATGCAGCTACTATTGACCAACAAGAGGCAACTACTATTGACCCACACGCGGCAGCTACTATTGACCCACACGAGGATGCTACTACTGACCCACACGAGGTAGCTACTATTGATCAACAAGAGGCAGCTACTATTGACCCAAGTGAGGTAGCTACTATTGACCAACACGAGGCAGCTACTATTGACCCACACGATGCAGCTACTATTGACCCACACGAAGCAGCTACTATTGACCCACACGAAGCAGCTATTATTGACCCAAGTGAGGCAGCTACTATGGACCCACACGAGGCAGCTACTATTGACCCAAACGAGGGAGCTACTATTGACCAACACGAGGGAGCTACTATTGACCCACAAGAGACAGCTACTATTGACCCACACGCGGCAGCTACTATTCACCCACACGAGGAAGCTACTACTGACCCACACGAGGTAGCTACTATTGACCCACACGTGGCAGCTACTATTGACCCACTCGAAGCAGCTATTATTGACCCAAGTGAGGCAGCTACTATTGACCCACACGAGGCACCTACTGTTGACCAAACGAGAGAGCTACTATTGACCAACACGAGGCAGGTACTATTGACCCCTCACGAGGGAGCTACTAATGACCCACACGAGGCAGCTGCTATTGACCCACACGAAGCAGCTATTATTGACCCAAGTGAGGCAGCTACTATTGACCCACATGAGACAGCTACTATAGACTCACGTGAGGCAGCTACTATTGACCCACACGAGGCATCTACTATTGAACCACACGAGGCAGCTACTATTGACCCACAAGAGGCAGCTACTATTGACCCACATGAGGCAGATACTATTGACCCACACGAGGCAGCTACTATTGACCCACACGAGGCAGCTAATATTGACCCACATGAGGCAGATACTATTGACCCACACGAGGCAGCTACTATTGACCCACAAGAGGCAGCTACTATTGACCCAGAAGATGCAGATACTACTGACCGAGACGAGGCAGCTACTGTTGACCCACAAGAGGCAGCTACTATTGACCCATCCGAGGCACCTTCTATTGACCCACACGAGGCAGTTACAATTGACCCACACGAGGCAGCTACTATTGACCCACACGAGGCAGCTACTATTGACCCACACGAGGCAGCAACTATTGACCCACACGAGGCAGCTACTATTGACCCACACGAGGCAGTTACAATTGACCCACATGAGGCAGCTACTATTGACCCACACGAGGCAGCTACAATTGACCCACACGCGGCACCTTCCATTGACCCACAAGAGGCAGCTACTATTGACCCACACGAGGCAGCTACTATTGACCCACAAGAGGCAGCTATTGTTGACCCACACGAGTCAGCTACTATTGACCCACACGAGGAAGCTACTATTGACCCACACGAGGCAGCTACTATTGACAAACACGAGGAAGCTACTATTGACCCACACGAGCCAGCTGCTATTGACTCACACGAGGCAGCTACTATTGACCACCAGAGGCAGCTATTGTTGACCCACACGAGGCAGCTACTATTGACCCACACGAGACAGCTACTATTGACCCACACGAGGCAGCTACTATTGATCGACACGAGGCAGTAACTATTGATCGACTCGAGGCAGCTACTATTGACCTACTAGAGGCAGCTACTATTGACCCACACGAGGCAGCTACTATTGATTAACACGTGGCAGCTACTATTGACCCACATGAGGCAGCTACTTTTGACCCACATGATGTAGCTACTATTGACCCACACGAGGCAGCTACTCTTGACCCACACTAGGCAGCTACTATTGTCCCACACGAGGCAGCTACTATTGACCCACACGAGGCAGCTGCTATTGACCCACACGAGGCAGCTACTATTGACCCACACGTGGCAGCTACTATTGACCCACACGAGGCAGCTACTATTGACCCAAGTGAGGTAGCTACTATTGACCCACACGTGGCAGCTAATATTGACCCACACGAGGCAGCTACTATTGACCTACACGAGGCAGCTACTATTGACCCACACGAGGCGGCTACTATTGACCAACACGAGGCAGCTATTATTGACCCACACGAGGCAGCTACTATTGACTCACATGAGGCAGCTACTATTAACCCACATGAGGCAGCTACTATTGACCCACATGAGGCATTTACTATTGACCCACAAGAGGCAGCTACTATTGACCCATGAGAGGCAGCTTCTATTGACCCATAAGAGGCAGCTACTATTGACCCACACGAAGCAGCTACTATTGACCCACAAGAGGCAGCTACTATTGACCCACACGAGGCAGCTACTATTGACCTGCACGAGGCATCAACTATTGACCCATACGAGAGAGCCTCTATTGACCCACAGGAGGCAGTGGACAGGCAGTCAGGTGCAGTCACAGTGAGAGGTTGTAGGCGATGAGTCACAATAACGTGGCTGAAGTATGTTGACCAGACCACACACTAGAAGTTGAAGGGACGACGACGTTTCGGTCCGTCCTGGACCATTCTCAAGTCGATTGTGTTAGCTGGAGCTCCGATTCTAATAACATTATTATTGCAATAATGGAAGGATTAGTGAAGGATTTAGTGAGTCTGGTTGGAGCTCTGAGAGCAGAGATGGATTCCCTGCGGGAGGAGGTACGACGGCTGAGATTTCGGGAGGAAACGAAGGAGGAGGCCAGTGTTGACGGGACCTCATTAAGAAGGACTGACGGGACCAGTATTAAGAAGACCTCGTCTTGGCAAGTTGTGAAAGACAGGGGTCTTAAGAAGACCTTGGCAAAACCGACAACTAATAGCCTACACCTAAGGACTTTTAACGCATTTGACGTATTAGAGGACGAGTGCTGTGTTGAACCTGTTGTTCAACGAGGTGGCAAAGCAACGAGGAGCATTGAAGCGCAGGTCCCTCAAACTGCTCGAAAAGAAAAGGGAGAATCGAAGCGAATTTTGGTTGTGGGAGATTCCCAGGTGAGGTATTTAGACAGAACGTTTTGTGCCAGAGATAGGGGGAACAGATTAAGGGTTTGCTATCTGGGAGCTGGAATTGGTGATATTGTTGGAAACATGAATGATATTATGACGGGAAATGGAAACAAACCCATTATTTGTATTAGTGCAGGGGGTAATGATGTTGGACGAGTTAGGAGTAAGGAACTAATACAGAGATTTAGGACAGCCATTGAATTAGTTAGGAGCAAGGGAGGAATCCCGATCATATGTGGCATTCTTCCAAGAAAGGGAGTGGGAAATGAATGGATGACAAGGGCACTTGGTGTCAATTGCCGGCTGGAAAGATATTGCAAATCAAATGCAATATCTTTCTAAGACAACTGGGAACACTTCTATGGAAGAAATGAAATGTATGCTCGTGATGGGGTGCATCTATCGAGAACTGGGGTTGTTGCTGTTGTGAACTCGTTGGAAGAAGTGGTTAGAGGTGTTTGTTTGGGTTTAAACTGTTAGTAGATAGAGGTATGGGAATTGATTTTAGGAAGGAGATAATAAAAGTATGTGTTTGTTGGAGAAAGGAATTGGCAAAATGATCAGGGAAAGAGAAAGGCCTCAAAATAACAATTCACTTAGGGTATATAACACTAACAGTAAAAGTCTAAGAAATAAAATTAACGAATTAAATGCTCTTGTCTGCACAGAAAAAATAGATATTATTGGACTTACCGAAACGTGGATGAATGTAGAAAATAGAGAACTATTAGCTGAATATCAAATAAATGGATTTAAACTATTTCACACAGATAGACATATTAGACGAGGAGGGGGAGTAGCCATATATGTTAGGGACAATTTGAAATGTAGTCTCAAAGAGGGAATCAAAACTGAGCCACACACAGAAACTATTTGGATAGAATTATACGAAAAAGCAAATAATATTATAATAGGAGTTATATATAGGCCACCAAATTTAGACAGAATGGAAGCAAAGCATCTATGGGATGAAATATCTAGGGCATCTAGATCTAACAGTATTTACGTCATGGGTGACTTTAATTTTAGTGGAATAAACTGGTTGAACAAAACAGGGAATAGTGAAGCAGAAGATTTTCTAGAATTAATTGACGATTGCTTTCTTACGCAACACATTAAGGAACCAACGCGGGAAAATAATATTTTAGATTTAGTGTTAACTAACAGGGAAACACAAATTAATGACATCGAAATAGGGAGTGAGCTAGGGAACAGTGTTCACAAAGAAATCAGATTTAGCATAGAATGGAATAGACCTGTAGGAGAAAATTCTGTTAAAGTGCCAGATTTTCGAAAAGCTGATTTTAATAGCCTAAGAAATTTTTTGGGTCAAATTGTTTGGAAAGTCTTGGGTATGGGGTGGGGGCCGGACTTGGAGCGAGACATGTACCCAGCGATAGGTGACGTAAATGGGGATTTCGATGTGCATTCAATATATAACTTATATAAGAATATTCTAAACAAAGCACAGGAACGTAGTATACCATACAAATTGAATAGATCGAATACTAATGACCCAAAGTGGATAACAAAGAATTTGAAGAACCTAATAGGTAAAAAGAGAGCTTGGTACAAAAGGATTAAAAATGGGGGAGGTCACTTTAGAACAGGAATTCGTACAACTGGTTAGAAATGTTAAAAAAGAGATAAGGAAAGCAAAAAGAAACTATGAAGTTCGCATAGCAGGGCAAGCAAAGACAAATCCTAAAGGTTTTTTTCAGGTATATCGAACTAAGACTAGGGAAAGGATAGGTCCATTAAGAAGTGAGACAGGTCAAATAACGGATAATGACAAGGAGATGAGTAGTATCTTTAACAAATATTTTATATCTGTATTTACTAAAGAAGAACTTAACAATATGCTTTCAGTCGAACAAGTCTATGTGGGTGGGGATGAGGACAGGTTGACTACTTTAGCAGTTACCAGGGAGGATGTAATTAAACAATTAGAAAAACTAAAATGAAACAAATCCCCAGGGCCGGATGAAGTGTTTGCCAGGGTGCTTAAAGAATGCAAAGAGGAGCTTTCCGAGCCACTGTCTACCATATTTAATAAATCAATAGAGTCAGGCAGAGTGCCAGAGTCATGGAAGGTAGCTAATGTGGTACCAATTTTTAAGAAAGGAGATAGATCACATGCGTCAAACTATCGGCCAATTAGCCTAACGTCTATTGTGGGAAAGTTAATTGAATCAATAATTGCAAATACAATTCGTCTCCATCTTGAAAAACATAAATTAATAAATGAGTCGCAACATGGTTTTACAAATGGCCGTTCATGTTAACAAATTTGCTAACTTTTTATTCCATCATAGTTGAGGCAGTTGATAGTGGTAAGGATTGTGATGTTGTGTACCTTGACTTTAGCAAAGCTTTTGATACAGTGCCACATGAAAGACTAATTAAAAAAATAGAAGCTCATGGTATTGGGGGTGCTATATTAAGTTGGATTAGGGCATGGCTATTCCAAAGGAAACAGAGAGTTAGTATAAATGGGGTTAAGAGTGGGATAATGTTGTTAGTGGAGTACCTCAGGGCTCTGTCCTGGGACCTCTGTTGTTTATAATATATATAAATGATTTAGATTCAGGTTTGAGTAGCAACATTTGCAAATTTGCCGATGATACGAAAATTGGTAGGGAAATTAATTCGGAGGAGGACTCAATATCACTTCAAGTTGATCTAGATAGGGTTTTGAAATGGTCAAAGGATTGGCAAATGCAGCTTAATGCTGATAAATGTAAAGT